TGTGTATAAGTGCACATGACCTTCTTCACACTGTTAAACATTACTGATTATCATAAATAATTATTATTATTAACCAAAGAACAGTAATTCATTTCAGTAATTAAATACATTTATAATGAACCATGATGATATTTATGAACCTTGTAATAAGACAGTAAACAGTTTATTAAAAATGATTCTTTTAAATCTTGAAGTGTCCTTCGTCTTGCGGGCGGAACAGCAGTCAGATTAAAGATGGTTTACAGCAGACTTCGTGTCTCCTGTGATGGTTAATCTGTGAATAGAAGTACAGCCAGGACAGCGTGACCCAGCTGGGGAAGTGTGACCTTTGGGTCACAAATGAGGCCATTCATGTCGTTACATTTGTATTTGTGCATTCCCTGAGCTTCTTTTTTAAGTTTTCCATAATTTCACCCCTTAGCAGCACTTTTGCTCCTACTGTGTGCCGTTGGGAATATGAAGTTTCCCCTCATCTCGTACCTCCTTCCCTCTGGGTGAATCATTTCTGAACATTTTGAGGTAAGGCGTTACACTTTGCCCTATTTGGAATTTGTGGTCTGTAGATCCACTAGATCTTTAAATTTGAGTCACTTGGACACCAAGTAAAGTGTATTGGTATGTTCCATAGAGCCCCATGGATGCTCTCTTCTGTAAAACAACCAGCAGATGAGCTGATGTTGCATAATTATTCCCCAGACTTCTGCACAATAGGTGAGGTATGGGAAGTCAATAGGAGGTACGGGAAGCCAATAGGAGGTACGGGAAGCCAATAGGAGGTATGGGAAGTCAATAGGAGGTATGGCAAGTCAATATGAGGTACGGGAAGTCAATAGGAGGTGTGGCAAGTCAATAGGAGGTATGGCAAGTCAATAGGAGGTACGGGAAGTCAATAGGAGGTGTGGCAAGTCAATAGGAGGTATGGCAAGTCAATAGGAGGTACGGGAAGCCAATAGGAGGTGTGGTAAGTCAATAGGAGGTACGGGAAGCCAATAGGAGGTGTGGCAAGTCAATAGGAGGTACGGCAAGTCAATAGGAGGTACGGGAAGCCAATAGGAGGTGTGGTAAGTCAATAGGAGGTACGGGAAGCCAATAGGAGGTGTGGCAAGCCAATAGGAGGTACGGGAAGTCAATAGGAGGTATGGCAAGTCAATAGGAGGTACGGCAAGTCAATAGGAGGTACGGGATGCCAATAGGAGGTGTGGTAAGTCAATAGGAGGTACGGCAAGTCAATAGGAGGTACGGGAAGCCAATAGGAGGTGTGGTAAGTCAATAGGAGGTACGGGAAGCCAATAGGAGGTGTGGTAAGTCAATAGGAGGTATGGGAAGCCAATAAGAGGTACGGCAAGTCAATAGGAGCTAAGGCAAGTCAATAGGAGGTATGGCAAGTCAATAGGAGGTATGGCAAGTCAATAGGAGGTATGGCAAGTCAATAGGAGGTGTGGTAAGTCAATAGGAGGTATGGGAAGCCAATAGGAGGTGTGGTAAGTCAATAGGAGGTACGGGAAGCCAATAGGAGGTGTGGTAAGTCAATAGGAGGTATGGGAAGCCAATAAGAGGTACGGCAAGTCAATAGGAGCTAAGGCAAGTCAATAGGAGGTATGGCAAGTCAATAGGAGGTATGTCAAGTCAATAGGAGGTATGGGAAGCCAATAGGAGGTGTGGTAAGTCAATAGGAGGTATGGGAAGCCAATAAGAGGTACGGCAAGTCAATAGGAGCTAAGGCAAGTCAATAGGAGGTATGGCAAGTCAATAGGAGGTATGTCAAGTCAATAGGAGGTATGGGAAGCCAATAGGTGAGGCATGGCAAGTAGGTGTTTCTCTGGAGTTCATTAATGTTTTTATTTTTAGTCTCAGTGTTTCTTCTACTGCGGATACGGTGCAGCAGGACAACGTTCCATGTATACGGACGATAACGTTTATCTGACCTTGTCCTTTATGCCGTTAGAAAAACATCCCAGTAAAAACTTTTTCTACTCTGATGGACAGCCGGGGGTCACAGGTCACGTCCTGACACGACAGAATAGAAGTGTCACCTGAGTCGGTGCTGAGAGCTGGAACATGAACCAGGACCTGCTATGTGCTTCTCTGTTTAGCTGTAGTGGGAAACTAAAACTGGTCCAGGTTGGGAGGGCTTCCCTCTGCTCTGAAAAACCATTCCCCCCTGAGAAAACCAGCGTGCGGCTTTCACAGGAACATTTGGGTCCTGTTTAACAAAATGGAGTCTGATTATGGAGACGAACAGGCACAGATGTTCCACCACGTTTCTGGAATCAGCTTTCATTAATCTGTTGTCTGAGTTCAGATTAAAGCTTTAAATTCACAATCCTCAGCATCGTTACGCAACAAGCGACCGACCGACTGGCTGAGGTCCGATTCAGGGCTTAAAATGGCGTGTTCTGTTTGTGCTGCTGGTTTATGAACCAGAGTGCCCTGCTGGGTCTCACATTCCAGTTACTGTCTTTGGAAATCAGAAGATAGGATGGAGGTTACTGCTCAGCTTGGCTCCAGAGGAATAAAGACGAAGGAAAACGATCCTTTGGCGCCTCTCAAGATAAAAATCACAAGGTGCTTCACGAGAACAAAAGATTTTAAATATAAAAAAGACTTCAAAAAATTACTAAAAAAATGTTTAAAATGAGAAAAAAATTCCTAAATAGTGATTTGAAATGTAAGGAAAGGGAGAGAGAGAGAATGAACAGGAAAGAGGGAAATCAGTGGATCATGGGAAAGTCTGAATAAGAGCAGAACCAGAAGAGGGACGAGATGAAGGTCCCACCAAAGCCTGAACAGGTTAAAGGAGACCACTGAGTCCACTGATCTCAGGCTCAGGGAGAGAGAGACAGAGTCTGGGGGCCACAGCAGCAGATGATCTGTCACCTTTGACCTTTAGCCTGGTGCTGCACATCCAGTAGGCTTTGGTCACTGGACCTAAAGACAAAGACCCAGCTTAGACCTGAACTTCACTGGTCACATCAGGCCTACAACGTTTTCTCACCTTCATCATAAGGCACGACTCAAGAGGTCATGTCCAGACTTAGAGCTCATTCATGCGTTCACCCCAGCAGGCTGGACTATTGCAATGGTTTTCTAACTGGTCTTCCCAAGGAGCTGTGAAGCAACTGCTGCTTAATCAGAATGCTGCTGCTAGCGTCTTAAAGGTGCAGTATGTAGGAATATAGTGAGAAAATCCCAAGAGAGTCTGATGTTTCAGTCATTCTGGAAGGAAGGTCCTACCAAATGAGTTTCATATCCAGGATACCTGGATTGTCAGTTTTTCTCCTTTCAGATCAAAGGATGGAGGGATGTAACTGTTTACCATCAGTGAGTGTGTATGTGTGCACGTTGGGGGGGGGGGGGGGGGGGGTCTCCTGCAGCGCCCACTACTGTAATTAGAAGACGGCTGAAAAAAGCTCCAGAGTTGTTTAAAGCGGCTTCAGGAACCAGATTCTACCACAGGATGTGATTTTTGCTTCATTTCTACATCGTGCACCTTTAACAAGAACCAAAAGAACCGAGCACATCACTCCTACAATGGTTACCAGTAAACTACAGAATCAGTTTCAAAGTGCTTCTACTGGTTCATAAATGACTCAGTGACTTGTTGGATCTCCTTTCTGGTCTCCCAGCAGGGCTCTGAGTCAGTCAGCTGGTAGAACCGGGTCAGAACAAACCGCGTGACATGACATCAACTTTAAAGTTAAAATAGAAAACTGATGTGTTCATCAGTCTGAATGGCCGTTTCTTCTTCTGCACCATAACGGCTAAAGGTTCCACTTCATTTTACTTTAAACCTTTGTGAGCAAAGGCAGGCACAGGTTATGACCTTTGACACTACTGAGATGTCATTTATCCTAAGTATGAGTTACTTTTTCCAGCCTAGATATGAAAAGGTTCGATTCAGTGAAGCTCCGCCCACAACTGCTCCGACAAAACACTCAACAGCATCTTGGGGAAGCCACTGGTGTCCAGCGCTCCTCCCAGTGGTCTCACCTGGCTTACACGCATCCTGAGCTGGCCATTACGGCCATCTTTGTGGACAGGACGCATGGTTTCCACGCAGGGGTGGACTGGCCTATCTGGCATTCTGGCACTGTCCCGGTGGGCCGCTTAGCCAAGTGGGCTGCTTGCCCAGCTTGGGCCGACACTACTCCACAGTTGGTGATCTGCAGAACATTAGCTACATGGTAACCCGAAGCTAATTGTTTTTCCAGGCGTTTTTAGCAAGAAAAATGCGGTAGAGCGATGACGTAGGTGTTGTTTTACCAAGTTGGCACGTAGCTAATGTCCCGCTGACCTCCGCCCGTGGAGAATGAGCTGATCTGGAAGGCCAGGGCTCCCGGTCGCAGGAGTCTGGCCCTGCTTGTAATTTAACAGTCCCAGTCCACATTAGATCTCACATTTGGCCTAGAGACGATTCCGCAGGCGGCGACACCCTCCACCCCCACCGCTCTCACAATTGGGGCCGATGTTTCGTAAAAATGCCAGGGCCGAATTTTGGTCCCAGTCCACCCGTTTCCACGGCGCTGTTTGGTCCCCAGAGCGGAGGTCAGAAGTATCCAGGTCTCAGAGCCGAGGCCAGGCCAGCTTCAGGGACAAGAGAACTGCCTGATGATGCAAGTGTTTCAGCTAAACTTGCAGCGGATACAGGAAAGTGCTCGAATGCAGCCAGAAGCGGGTTTGGTGGTTGTTTGAGGAAATACCGATATCACATGTTATAAAGCTCCAAAAGGTGGATCTCCTATCTTACTGCCTCTTTAACTTTGCCTTTGATCTCATTTCTTACATCTAGTTGTATTTGAAATAAGATTTTAAACCGTGCTGTTCCGTGTTCTCGCTCCTGGAGAGCACACGGACTTGCTTCTGCGTGGGGAAGGGTCAGGTGCTGCAGAGGAAGCTGCCTTCACATGAACGTCGGAACCTCCTTTTCCTTCCCGAGGACATCAGAGAGGAAAACAAAACAGCGGAACTAGTCTGAAGTTATTAAACACAATAAACAAACATTTAAAAGAAAAAACTTTATTCATTTCTTCACAATAAACATTTTAGAACATCTTCATCATAACATCAAGAGTCTGAGACTTTTAAGTATTGCTTTGATTCAACAGCTTCCTTCTTCTGCAGCAGATCGATCTAAAACGGTTAAATGAAACCCTTTCTGCGTACAGCCGAGCAGACACAAACAAACAAACAAACAAACAAACAAAGACTGCAGACGGCCTTCCTCTGCAGCTCCGGGTTCAACTTAAACCTCGGATCTGGATTTGGACAGCGGAGCCTGGAGCGTGCCACTGCAAGGGACATGAAATCGTGAGCTTTGGAGGAAGTGGCGTCCGGGTTTCAGTGACCTTCTGCAGCGCAGAACCTCAGAGGCAGCCGCTTCGTTTGTGATCCAGAATTTCATCCATTCTTGTAAATTTATTGGCTTGTTTTGCTCTTTGCTGCTTCTCGTCTTGGCCCTAATCCTGGTAAAAGAGATGATCTAATCTCGGGATTTTCTGGATTAACAAATGGATGAAACACATCTGTGGGTTTGGGTGCTTTTGGGTGTTCTAGACCTGCCCGTCCGAGCAGGGTCGCGGATGAGAGACCAACCAACCGCTCGGGTTTTTGGACAGTGGGAGGAAGCCGAAGAACCCGGAGAGACCCCACAGGGAGAACATGCCAACTCCTCGCAGAAAGACCCCAGGCTGGGATTCGAACCCAGGACCTTCTTTCTGCGCGGCAACAGCGCTAACCACTGCTCCACAGTGCAGCCCAACAGTACAACAAAAAACCTAAAACTAAGTGTTTCTGAGTTTTACAGATAAACTCTTAGATCTTAAAACTCCTTTGTCAAATCAAATTAAAGCACTTTCAGGAATTCCCAGGATTTTCCAGCCCCGCCCACATAAGACAGGAATGTTTCCCTGTTCCGACACAAATTTCGGTTATTCAACATCAGTTCTGGTTCTGAGGGCCCATGCCGATTCCGGGTTATTCCGATTTAGTCACCAAATAAAAATGTTTTCCTGCATCAGAATTCCGTAAACGTTCCAAGTGATAAAACAGAATTCCTGGATGGAATAAAAAATGTAATAAAACAAACTTTATTACATTACAGTTGAATACAAATAAAATAAATAAATGTGAGGAAGGCACTTCCTTAGCCTGCTGGGCTACATTTCTTATGTTAAAACGGGAATGGGATTATCCCCGTGGCACACTCCAAACTCCACATTTAATCATCTAAAATTAACTTCAGTTCAGGTGTGTGTGTGTGTGTGTGTCCATGTATGTGTGTGTGCCCCCCCCCCACCCCCCACCCACACACACACACAGATCCAGACGCACCTTTCAAAGGACTTGTGAACAGAACAAAACATTTGTGACTGCAGAACTCCAGACTAGCACACTACGGGAAGCCCTGAGGGACAAAATAAAGCTTGTGTAAAACAAGTGTCTTTGTGGACAGGACGCACGTGTCCTGTGCTCCCAGAGGCGCGTTTAAACCCCTCTGTTACTTAAATTAGGTCTGTGGCTTACTGGAAAGCACAGCGGTCCTTCATTTTATTAACAATAATATTAACAATGATGCTTTTTATGTATAAGCGCCGTTCAGCAGACACAAGGACACCTCAGCAATAAAAGAAGCTACGAAGAAACCGGATTAAGAAAAAGAAACGTACACGTCGTGCGTGTCCTGTGCTGACGTCGGCTCAAACGCCAGCGACTGAGATTCGGTCGGGTTTCTTACACCGTTACACCCGACCAGTTATTAATGAACTACTTAAAACCATCTCGTTACTTTCCTTGAGCCAGCTAACGAGCATTTTCATTTTACTGGTTGTTCTCCTGCAGAGGGTTTTGCGTCTGTTCAGAGGGATTAGGATTACAGGGCAGCCATGCAAGAAGACAGTCTGAATATATTTTGTAAGCTGGACATAAATCATTACATCCCTAAAGCCTGGAAACCGTTTCTAATTAGGTTTTCCTTTTTCAGGACGGATGTCACAGCTTTCCACTTCCCTGTTTTATAACGAGAGCGTGCATCCTGTCCACAAAACCTTATTTCATCTTCACGGCTTCACTCACACACACACACACACATGCACACACACGCACACACAGATCAGCAGCAGATTTGGGGGACAGGAAGTCCCCGACCTTTAGGGCTCCGGAGCTTTGCAGAGGGACGCTTTGGTAAACTTTCCTCTCCTGGATACGATCTGAGAAACTGAAGCATCAGCCTGACGTTCCGTAAACACCATCAGAGACTTTGTCTAAAAGCAAAATGATTCCATCCAGAGTCCAGGGAGCTTGGATAACCACATTGTGTTATTACAGTAGTGCACTTCCTCTACACACACACACACACACACACACACACACACACACACACTCTTAGCTTAAGACCTAATTTAACAAATACATTCAAACTTACATTGATTGAAATCCCCCCCCGCCCCCGCCCCCCCACCATCACCACCTCAACGCCATCAGAACATCAACCAAACTCTCAGCTGAATGATTTCCTGTAAAGCTCAAATAAATATCTTATTTTTAATGAAATCAGAGGTCAGTGGCGCCGCCTGCTGGTTAGCCGGTGGTTGTTAGAACGAGGACAAAAACGCCATAAAGCACCAGACATGTGAACCAGTTTTTATCTAAATAACATCTGAAATAAATCCATCAGTAACTTCATACGTCTAGTTTTCATTCTAATTTAGTTTGCAATCGTATTTATTTGAAGTCGACTTTGGGAGGAAATCACGAGCTGATGGGATCGATTGCTCTGGTCTGAATGGAGGCCTTTCAAACGTGGCTGCTAGTTCACAAATTGAGAATTTTATTTAAATGTAATTTAAAAGAAAGATAACTTCTTGGTGTTCGCACACGCTGGAGCATCTCCAAACGTAGGAGAGGTCAAATTTAACCGAGGAGTAAAAACGTGGAGCCAAGAAGCTGCTTCCAGTTTGGTGTTCAGAGTCTAAAATGGCGTGATTTCTGTTTTCTTAAGTTTACTCATTTCAGTGCATCTTTACAACCAAAATGGCTTTTTTATTGCAACTAAAGGAAAAAAGCTCATTTAAATAAAAACAAGTAAACGATGCATCAGAAACTGTAAACGGTGCCGAATTAAACAGCTGCTTTTGGCGTTGGGAGCTTTACAGGAAGAGGTAACGAACTCGCCTCTGAACCAACCAAACACACATGAGAGTAGCGTTGATCTTCTCCGAGACAAAACCCATTCTTACAATCTTCTAACGCTTCCGACAGCAAACGTGTGCCCAGCACAGCCCGGCGACGCTTCCACGTGTCAACTCTCCCAGGTGGAAACGCGCGTCGTTCAGACTAGAAGCTACAAACACCTGCAGATTTATTTCTTCTTGCATATCTTTTCTCACAGCTTAGGACCGTTCCCTCCACAGGAAACAGTCACAAGTATCTGTTCCGCTGAAGGTTTCAGTATATTATGTACAGAACTTCGTTTGGCGTGTGCTGCTGAAGCTCTACGCTGCATGCCGACCAAGTTGGCCGATATTTGTGTCCTAATGAACCTAGAAGCTACGGTTCCTCTGAGGAGGCGAGCCAAAGCAGAACTACATGCTGCAGGTTTGGGTTTGAACCAGGATGCAGGACCCGTTCGTAGCGTCCTCTTCCAGAACCCTGCTGGCATCATCTCAGCAGGCTGGAGTTCAGGTCCGTGTGACTCGGGCCCGGTTTGTGCTGGTGGAAGCTTCTGTGTGCGCTCCGCCGTGTGCTTCGGAGTTCCTTCAGCTCTGGCTGACTCTTGATGATGCAGCAGCTTTTGTCCTTGTTTATGTTTATGTTTGTTCCAGAGATGACTCAGGGACAGGATGATGATGATGACGACAGAGACCTGAACACAACCTAATGCTAGTGTGTGTGTGTGTGTTGTGTGTGTGTGAGTGTGTGCTTGTCCACATGATCAGAAGCATCTCACACACCGTGCTCCTCATTCCGTCTGGGTGGCCGCGGGGGGAAGCATGCCCCTCTCTCTCAGATGGGAGTGCAGCGTGTGGAAGATGCCGAGCTGCTGCTCCGGCTGAAGCATCAGCAGCTGCTGAAACACCTTGCTGGGGTTCGGCCCTCTGCGAAAAGCCACAACATTCCAGATGTTACCGGGATGATAACGGGAAGTCTTCCGGACGAGCGAGCTGGGACTGGCGAGGTCATTAAAGTGGTCAGATTTATTTCACTAGACAAACTTAGCGACTTTTAAAAAGTTCCAGGTTTTAACCTTGGTTTTGTGCTCGTAATGAAAGCTGCTGATTGGTTCGTCCTGTAGCTGAGGTGTTGCGCTACAACCTGAGTGGGAGGAGCCATAAATGTGTGGTGTCGGGAGAATCACCACACATTTATTCCTAAAGAAAAGCCCTGCTGCCGATTAAAGAGATGGATCGGAGATTCTGAGGGGAAGAGGTTAGGAGGAATCAGACGTCACCTGCTGTAACAGCCTCAGTTTGGAGAAAAAGAGATCAGTGCAGATCGGACAGAAGGGTAAACAGCTCAATACTACTCTGTGGCCACAAGATGGCGCTATTACTGATTCCATACAGGCTTATGGGAGATCTCTGCACCCGCCCCTGCTGGGAAACGTCCCAGAGAAGATCCAGCCGTGGAAAACTCGTCCCAGCTGGAACGGTACCGATTGTGAGAAGGTTGATAACCTCCTAAAGAGCTGCTGGTCTGAACCCAGCTCTCTCCAAACTGAGGGAGAAACACTCCAACCTTTGACCCCGTCTTACCTGACAAAGCTGCCGATGTAGACGTGAGTGAATGTGGCCATCAGGTACTGACAGTCGAAGCGATCCATGATGCCTCCGTGACCCGGGATGGTGCTGGCGAAGTCCTGAGGGGACGGAGAGACGGGTGTGAGACGGAGACGGATGGCACAAACTCTTGTTTTTAAGCAATGACGTTTTACAGGATGACCTCACAAGCTCCTCACTTTGATTTTGAAGGCTCGCTTGAAGCCACTGGCGAAGAACCCGCCAAACGGCCCGATGAGGGAAGCAAAGGACGACAGGAATACGCTGTGGATGGCGAAGGGGTAAAGGTTCACCGTCTCCTAGAACAGAAACAAAACCACGAGCAGCAACAGCAGATACAACACCTTCAGGTCAAACGTCATTTAAAGCCTTAAAAGTCCAATGAAAGCATGAATTTTACCCATTTGAGTGCGTTTTGCAGCACGGCAGGAAGGGTGTATTCCTGCATCACAAACAGGTCCGAAGGCTCACACTCCACAGAAAACCTGTTGGTCTCGCTGTTAAACTCCACCGGACAAACAAAGTACTGGAACCGGGACATGAGGTGGGCCATCTGGGGGGACGGGGACACAAACGGGACAAGCGAGTCAGACAGGACCGCGTCTTCGGCCTTCAAAAGTCAGGAGGACAGGTCTGGTGTAGGGATGTCACGGTAACCGGTGTCGCGTATAAATGTTGACAGTAATTATGTTTTGTTTTATAAATGATATTATCTCAGCGGATTACCGCGGTGTCCCTTTCCAGCCACCGTCTCGTCTGCTGAAGCTGCTGCACATGCGAACTTTGTAGATCACAACCAAAAGGAGGAAACGGCAGCGCTCATGATATCCATCAGCCCTCAAAGAAGACGGAAGTACGGGCATAGTTTGGATATTTAAGGCATGCCGAGGGACAGCTGATAGAAGCCGGTTATCCTGTTTGCAGCACGTGCAGAAAAAGTGTCGCTTCAGATCTCACGACAAGTGTGTGACCACCAGCCACAACTCTGCAGTCAAGGCAAGGCTGGCTAGCGTCAGGCTGAAACGTGTGATGGGAGGACTTTGGGTTGAGGGAGCATGCGACGAGTCGCCCTCTAGTGCCGCGGCAGCACCCACTGCCAGCATATAAACCCCCATACTGAGATAAGGCTATGCATTACGGGGCTCCGGGGGGGGGGGGGGTATTCTGGGTTTAGTTAGTTAAAAAAAATACTGCGATAACGAAACTGTGATCATTTTGGTGAAATTTTCTCTGACAGCCATAGTCTGGTCTCGTTTCTAGACCCATATGTTATTGTGTTTAGAGCAAAGCAGCAAACAGACCGTCACCAGTCAGAACGTATTAAAATAGAAGAAAACAGCTGCTTTAGGGCACAGAGTCTGTTACCATGGCAACGTCAATCTGGAACATGAAACCCAGTGACGTTAATATAAATATTACCTCCGCGGGACGTTCAGAGGTGTACAGTTTCTCCTTTTAAAGCCGTATTTAAAAAGACAAATAATCTAATTTTATTCTGTCGGGCACGATGCTGTGTTTGTGTTTACATCCACCAGCCACTAGAGGGCACCGTTGTGCTAAACAGTCCGCTCGGCTGCGTGACGCTGGGACTGTCTGATTCTGAGCCCAGAAGATGTTCGAACAGTAAATACGGTTGTAGAATAAACTTATTAGTAGAAACAAGTCCTTATCCTGTACGACTTGTCTCTGAACATGGTGCTGGAACGAGTCTTTATCCTGTACGACTTGTCTCTGAACATGGTGCTGGAACGAGTCCTTATATCCTGTACGACTCGTCTCTGAACATGGTGCTGGAACGAGTCCTTATATCCTGTACGACTCTTCTCTGAACATGGTGCTGGAACGAGTCCTTATATCCTGTACGACTCGTCTCTGAACATGGTGCTGGAACGAGTCCTTATATCCTGTACGACTCGTCTCTGAACATGGTGCTGGAACGAATCCTTATATCCTGTACGACTCGTCTCTGAACATGGTGCTGGAACGAGTCCTTATATCCTGTACGACTCTTCTCTGAACATGGTGCTGGAACGAGTCCTTATATCCTGTACGACTCGTCTCTGAACATGGTGCTGGAACGAGTCCTTATATCCTGTACGACTCGTCTCTGAACATGGTGCTGGAACGAGTCCTTATATCCTGTACGACTCTTCTCTGAACATGGTGCTGGAACGAGTCCTTATATCCTGTACGACTTGTCTCTGAACATGGTGCTGGAACGAGTCCTTATATCCTGTACGACTCGTCTCTGAACATGGTGCTGGAACGAGTCCTTATATCCTGTACGACTCGTCTCTGAACATGGTGCTGGAACGAGTCCTTATATCCTGTACGACTCGTCTCTGAACATGGTGCTGGAACGAGTCCTTATATCCTGTACGACTCGTCTCTGAACATGGTGCTGGAACGAGTCCTTATATCCTGTACGACTCGTCTCTGAACATGGTGCTGGAACGAATCCTTATATCCTGTACGACTCGTCTCTGAACATGGTGCTGGAATGAGTCCTTATCCTGTACGACTTGTCTGAACATGGTGCTGGAACGAATCCTTATATCCTGTACGACTTGTCTCTGAACATGGTGCTGGAACGAGTCCTTATATCCTGTACGACTCGTCTCTGAACATGGTGCTGGAACGAGTCCTTATATCCTGTACGACTCGTCTCTGAACATGGTGCTGGAACGAGTCCTTATATCCTGTACGACTCGTCTCTGAACATGGTGCTGGAACGAATCCTTATATCCTGTACGACTCGTCTCTGAACTTGGTGCTGGAACGAGTCCTTATATCCTGTATGACTCGTCTCTGAACATGGTGCTGGAATGAGTCCTTATCCTGTACGACTTGTCTGAACATGGTGCTGGAACGAGTCCTTATATCCTGTACGACTCGTCTCTGAACATGGTGCTGGAACGAGTCCTTATATCCTGTACGACTCGTCTCTGATTATGGTGCTGGAACGAGTCCTTATATCCTGTACGACTTGTCTCTGAACTTGGTGCTGGAACGAGTCCTTATATCCTGTACGACTCGTCTCTGAACTTGGTGCTGGAACGAGTCCTTATATCCTGTATGACTCGTCTCTGAACATGGTGCTGGAACGAGTCCTTATATCCTGTACGACTCGTCTCTGAACATGGTGCTGGAACGAGTCAGCAGTGAACCAACATCCCAGCGGCTAGAACATTAGTCCTGTTGTTGCAGTACCACCTCTGAACACCAGAGTTCGCCAGATTGTCCGTGTTTCATAGTTACTCTTTAAACTCGGGGTTGATTTAGTCAGAGCTCCAAACTCGTCTGAATCACAGACTTTATTGAGGATCGATGTCATTAAACTGGAGAGGAAACCAAAACGGCATCTTTGGAGAAGGAATAAAATGGTGAACTCACAATGAATCCGATGATCACGGTGGAGAAAAAGCCCCCGATGAAGCCCTCCCAGGTCTTCTTGGGTGAGAGCTGCAGTCAAACAACAGAAGAGTCACCTTTAACATCATCGGGTGAGTTTGCTTAAACCATCGAACATCTGAGGAAAAAACCCGTTCTACAGCAGCATCCAGCTTTACTGGTTCTACTAGGACCATCCTGGCCCAGCGTGTTTTAGTCCTGGAGCAGGGAAGCTATCAAAACATGCTGGACTAGGATTACCTACCCATGGATTATAGTAACTGAGGGTTCTGGGAGTGTTTTTACCACATAAACTAGTCTTTTGGTATTTTACTAAACAAAGCAGGTTTCGGCCTAACGCATGCATTCTTCTCCTTCAGCTTCTCTTCAGCCCTGCTAAGCTATTGCAGAAGCCTGGGTGGGTTGCTGCTGCATCATCACTGTCCACTTCTCCCTATCCAGGTAGTCTCACGTCCGGAGCGCTCCTCCCTGGACTGCAAACACTAACACCTGGTCTCTCCCTGTAGCTAGCAGGTCGTTTAACCTCCACAGCTGTGAAGAAGTGATTTCTTTTCTAGCCTGCACTTTCAATAAAGCATAGAATCAAAAAAGTGGGTTTTTTTGTCTGCAAGAGGAACAGGATCCCTGTCCAGTCTTCCTGCAGAAGAGTTTAATCTGCAGGAATTGTTGGATTTTATTGTCAGGAGTGCTCAGAGACCGAGTCAGGATGTGACCGCGATTCCTTCGGAAATCGCAGAAGTCAGTCAGCTGCTGGCGTGCGCTCCGTTTTCCTTCATGGGGCTCTGATGGGAATCTAGGGTTACGTTATGGGATGGGTGGAGGTGAGATTTCACGCATCCCAGCATTTTGTTTGTGGGTTGTTTAAATGTCAGAAAATAAGAAAACTCAAATTTTCGGAAGAAACGACGTCTCCATGGTGCCAATCACCTGTAGGCTTGTCCTCGCTCTGATGCAGATCTTATAACAACACCCAGCACGTACGTTCCCCTAAAATCACATTACCCACACCTTTCCCTCCATGAAAAGCCCGGGAGGGCTCTCTCCTACAGGGAGAGACAAGTCTGACCTTTATAAGCGGAGTTCTCCCAAAGAAGAATCCAAACAGGTAAGCCATGATGTCGTTGCAGATCACGATGGAGATGGGAACGATAAACCTGCAGAAGGAATTCAGGTCACACACAAAACTTCTCCATCTTTGAAAGTTTATTAAAGTTAAAACTGGTTCTTAAACGGATTTTTGCTGAATTTGCTGCATAAAAATCAAAACAAAGAGCAACACAACAGTGAGCACAAACTTGTGACGACACGGAGACAACATGGCGGATTCTTCTGATCCGCCTGTGTCCTGCTTACCAGATCATTCCTTCAAACAGGTTCTGAATGACAAGGTGGGACTGAGTTACCACAATCAACAGGGTCACATGGGTCCAAGCAAACTGGAATGGCAAACACAAACACCACAGATTCACTGGAACGCTGCTCACAGGTGAGCTTGTGTCAGAATCACAGGAATCAGACGGAAAAAACATCCGGACAGAACGACGGGGGCAGGTGGACGATGGGCGGAGTTACAGTCACACGGGAATTGTGGGAAAATGCATGCACATGAAAGACAGGAACATCGCAGCCAGTCAGAGCAAAGAGAGCATTGCTGCCTAGCAGAACCTGCAGATGGTTGTGGAGGACCGCGGTCATCATGTTCATGGAGAAAGTGGGACAGGAGTGTCCAGGCCGTGTCCTCGAGGACCAGGGTTGGACACTCCACGTTGTCTTACTTAAAAGTACCTTTTGCTCACTATTTTACAAAATGACAATGAAAATAAAATCAAATGTTTGGATTAATAAAACGAGGCACAAGGAAACAAAAGAGAAGCAAATGACTTTAATGAAGCTAGGGTTAGCTCCTAATCTATGAGTAATGCCAATAATGGGTTTACGGCAAGCTAAAACATCATAAAATCCTAATCCTGTGAAAGATGATGAATGCAGGAGGGCTAGGGGTTAGTGTTACTGATACACACCATGTAAAACTGCAGGCGGTAATGTTTCTTCACTAAACTCAGCACAAACATGCAGAAACCTGTGGAAGAGTAAACAACATGCTGTCAACATCTGGAAGAAACAGTTCAGGTGCTGCAGGAGACGGGATTAAATCAGCCTAAACTGTTATTGAATCATTCAGATCTGATCCGACCCGGATTACAACCGACGCGCCGTTTCCATCAAACTGGCGGACGGAGCAGATTTCATCCACGCCAACCGCGAAACGTCCCCAGAAGGCAGAAGGAGACAAAGCGGGGTTTTCTGATCAGCGGGCGTGTAACCTGGGTTTAATATTAATATTAATCTATCACATTAACCGACAGAAGTGGAAGAAACTCTGAATAATTATGAAAAAACCATCGACATACATATAAACAAAAACGGCCGATGACTTTTTTTGGGGTTTTTAAATAAACTGTAAAATTCTAAAACATCTGTAGAAAAAAAAAGACAAAATCTGTAGTTTGTAAATTTAGCTTTTGTTCCGTTTCCTCAGAAATATTCCTCAGCTTTTGGGTGTGTGTGTGTACATGCGTCTGCTTTTGTTTGTGTGTGTGTGTGTGTGTTCATGTGTGTCTGCCCATGTGTGTGTGTGTACATGTGTCTGCCCATGTGTGTGTGTGTACATGCGTCTGCTTTTGTTTGTGTGTGTGTGTGTGTACATGTGTCTGCCCATGTGTGTGTGTGTACATGCGTCTGCTTTTGTTTGTGTGTGTGTGTACATGCGTCTGCTTTTGTTTGTGTGTGTGTGTACATGCGTCTGCTTTTGTTTGTGTGTGTGTGTACATGCGTCTGCTTTTGTTTGTGTGTGTGTGTACATGCGTCTGCTTTTGTTTGTGTGTGTGTGTACATGCGTCTGCTTTTGTTTGTGTGTGTGTGTGTGTGTGTGTGTGTTCATGTGTGTCTGCCCATGTGTGTGTGTGTGCATGCATCTGCTTTTGTTTGTGTGTGTGTGTACATGTGTCTGCTTTTGATTGTGTGTGTGTGTGTGTGTTCATGTGTCTGCCCATGTGTGTGTGTGTACATGTGTCTGCTTTTGATTGTGTGTGTGTGTGTGTGTGTTCATGTGTCTGCCCATGTGTGTGTGTGTACATGTGTCTGCTTTTGATTGTGTGTGTGTGTGTGTGTGTGTTCATGTGTCTGCCCATGTGTGTGTGTGTACATGTGTCTGCTTTTGTTTGTTTGTGTGTGTGTGTGTGTGTGTGTGTACATGTGTCTGCTTTTGTTTGTGTGTGTGTGTGTGTGTGTTCATGTGTCTGCCCATGTGTGTGTGTGTGCATGTGTCTGCTTTTGTTTGTGTGTGTGTGTGTGTTCATGTGTCTGCCCGTGTGTGTGTGTGTACATGTGTCTGCTTTTGATTGTGTGTGTGTGTGTGTGTGTTCATGTGTCTGCCCGTGTGTGTGTGTACGTGTCTGCTTTTGATTGTGTGTGTGTGTGTGTGTGTTCATGTGTCTGCTTTTGTTTGTGTGTGTGTGTGTGAGTGTGTGTGTGTTCATGTGCCTGCCCGTGTGTGTGTGTGTGTGTGTACATGTGTCTGCTTTTGATTGTGTGTGTGTGTGTGTAATCATGTGTCTGCCCGTGTGTGTGTGTGTGTGTGTGTACATGTGTCTGCTTTTGATTGTGTGTGTGTGTGTGTAATCATGTGTCTGCCCGTGTGTGTGTGTGTGTGTGTGTGTGTGTGTGTGTGTGTTCATGTGCCTGCCCGTGTGTGTGTGTGTGTGTGTGTACATGTGTCTGCTTTTGATTGTGTGTGTGTGTGTGTAATCATGTGTCTGCCCGTGTGTGTGCATGCATCTGCTTTTGTGTGTGTGCATGCATCTGCTTTTGTGTGTGTGTGTGTTCATGTGTCTGCCCGTGTGTGTGTGCATGCATCTGCTTTTGTGTGTGTGCATGCGTGTGTGTGCGTGTGTGTGTGTTCTCTGCAGACACAGAAGTCACGTTGTCTCCAAGGACAGTCTCACCTGCCAGATACAAAGCGAAGGAAATGAAGCGGTGATAGCGAGCCAAGAACTGCAGAGGCTCCTCCCTCTGCACCAAACCCCCGAAGTAATCTGCAACAGTCTCACCATAGAAGAAGTAGTTGACACAAATCAGGAAGTACCTGAGCAGGAAAAAGGGGAGGGGTCAGTTACTCTACACTTAATTTATGACTAAAGGACCAAACAATCCGAGATTATACTGGTGTAAGTGTTTCTGACCCAGTGTACGTTGACCTGGTGTGTGTGTGTGTGTGTGTGTGCGCGCGTGCGTGCGTGCGTGTGTGTGTGTGTGTGTGTGTGGTGTGTGTGTGTGTGTGTGTGTGTGTAGCACAGAGCAAAGATCACTGCTGTGCTGGAAGTAAGAGACAGCTTTCACCTAGTCACTCACTCACTCACTCACTCACTCACTCACTCACTCACTCACTCACTCAAATTGTCCATCGTTGTTTCTTTACCGACTCACCAGCTCAGAGTCCTGAACCAGGGCAGCTCGTAGGAATGGTAGACTCTGTAGCCGATGGTGATGATTTCATGGAAACACTTGATCTGGACACCCATGACCTGCAGCAAACAAACTGGGTCAGGGTACGGTTCCCAGAAAACCTTTTTGAACTAAGAAACTATCTTTTCTGTTGCTCATGAATACCAGTTAAAGGTGTGGTTCACTCATCTAATCAACACAACTGCAGTGCTCTCTACTATAGATGAATGTCTTGTGAGAGGAGCTCTATGAGAAAAAGCTCTGGCGCTCCTGTTTCAGGAACTAGAAGTGAGTCACATCACAGCTGAGCTTCAGATGACAGGATATGGAGTCTTACTTCCTGATATGTGGACATCTCTCCTCTGATTGGCTAACAGCAACACGACTACCACTGACTCTGTTTTCTCTGCAACGTTGATGTTTCATCTCCACAAATAACACAAGCCTGGAGGAGTTCTGGTGTGTGGTGGACTTGCTAATGCTAACGTTAGCTCCTACTAGCAGAGATGTTCTCTGCTGTTTCCTGGACTAAACCAACAACAGCCTTCCCCGTCGTGAGTCCAGATGGGTGAGTCCATGAATGTTAGTGACAGTGTGACGTAGATCTGTCAGGATTTTCTATCCTAGAGTTTCACCGTCTGTTTTCTACCACAAGCCACTGCAGCTGATAGGTGTAGGAGACTATTTTCATGTTCAGCCTGCAGTAAACACTCATTAGAATCACAGATAATTATTAAAACATGGTTTTTCAGTGAACCGCACCTTATAAGTGACTCACCGCAACGATAAGAGCTATGGGTCCCATGTAGGTGATGAGGAAAAAGCTTGAAATCATGGGAATGGACAAAACTCCTCGTATCCAGTAATTCTTCCACCTGTAGGGAATACAACCACCTCCAGTTTAAGGTTTTGCGTCGATAACGCAGGTGACAACAGGGTCAGCCGGCTGGTTTAAGCCTGACCTCAGACCAGAACTGGGTGAAGGAAAAACCAGTTGTTTATTTTATAATAGAAAAAGATTTTTATTGGCCTCTGATGGTTTAAAGGGGCATTATGGAAGTTTGACAGCCAAAACATGTATAGAAATAATAAATGTCTTCTTCATACATTCTCCTGCAATGCCCTGGTCCTGTAGAATGAGCCCTAGCATTTTTACTGTGATTGCCTGTTTTTCTGTAAAATCACAGAAAAAGAGAGATGCTCGGGTCGAGCAGGCTGCTTCACGCGCGTTCACGCTCAGGCATCGCCCGTAGCATTTGCTATCCGTAGCTTTAGCAGCAGAGAGAGAGGCAGTGCCACTTTGTCGCTGTTCCTAACTCCTAGTGACAAAGCTAGCTACATTTCTGAGGACCCTTAGCTACTTTCTGTAGAACTTTCTTCTAGATATTTCCTGCTAATTAGCAACAAAATAGCCATTTTCACTCCGAATCGTTCTTTGAACGTTGTTTCAGCTGTCATCAAGGATATAAATGTTACAGATACAAAGGACGTCATTGGTGCTTTAGCTCACCTAGTAAGATGTCGGACTCTCGTGAGAAGACCTGGGTTTGATTCTGGGTGTGAACATAGTTTATTTAGAGTTTCTTTTTTACATTAATGGTATAATTTTTTACAGTAAGATGCCCAAATTTTTATTTGAAACTCGCCGAACGGCATTGAATTCACAGATAAAAAAGATGTGGGTTCAACTTTTATTTTGGAAAAATTTTTCAAGCAAGGGAAGGGAACGATCTGAGCATGCAGGAGGACTGACCCATCATAAACCTTTGTCGGCTGTGCTGAAGAGAAAGGTACAGAACCAAATTATGTAATTAATTAGCTGCGTGTTCTCCTGTCCTCTGTCCTCTGGGCCACACACACACACACGGGACTGACTCAGCTGTTATTTTCGTTAAGGAGTGTGCACGTACAGCATGCGCGCCTCGTGCACGAGCCTCCTATTGAAGCTGCCGTTACGCTTTTGGCCTGAGGGGGCAATCGCGAGCATAAAAATTCAAAACTCCGTTAAGTCCCTTTAAGTGCTGCCTTTAGACTGGTTTGTAATGTCCTCAGGTTAACTGGGTTATTAAACACACTGGCCTGTGCCTGTTACTGGTTACCAGCAGCAGCGCTGCTGCAGACACATCTGGAGCCCGTTTGGACCCAGGAGGCGTTCCTGCAGCACCTGCTGTGGCCCACCGTTTGGAGCTCTGAGGCCCGCTGGTCTGAATTCAGAACAAAAGGGAGGAAAGGGCTAAAAGCTGCACAGCAGCAGAGTTAAAGGCTGCTGAAGCTCAGGGGTGGATTACACCACGCTGTGAACTCACAAACTCATATAATTGTCGAGATGAGTCGTGAGCTTGGAACTTTGGCTGAGATTCAGACTCTGGCACAGAAGGTGGATTCCATCAAGGAGAAAGTTGACGGGACGGCACGGATTTATTAACTACGTCATTATTGGATCGAGAGGGGTTGGAGACCAACAGAACTTTCAGACAGAGAGGAAATTTTCTCTGTCTGGCCCCAAAACCAGTTCTTATCTGAATCTGGTGCCCCTGAGCCTGTGAGGCTGATCTCGGAATTGTGTGCACTGAAACTCTAACTTCCCTCTGGGATTAATAAAGTGTCTTTGAATTGAATTGAATGAATGGATGAAAACAGCTGCATCATGAAAAACGCTGCTGCAGACCCCTCCTACAGGGGGCAACCCTGCTGTCACACACCTCTGCTTCACTACAGGATAACAAACAGGCCTCCTTTGTGTTTACGTAACCGGAGACTCTAGAAAAGCATCTAAACATCTGGAAAAAGATTTCACGTGAGAACGAAACGGTTGGCTCTGAATGAACAGAAACGTAGACGCATTTCATTGTCAGGAGCATCGCTCCTGACTTTGGTGACAACAAAGTAATGTAACTAAGTAATAGTAACTTGATGCGTGATTGTCAGCCACAAATCAAACCAGATGAGTAACTATGTGATAAATGACCCACACCGGTCTCTGAGTCAGAGGACTCCAGAGCTCTTTACTACAGAGATCATTCACCCACTCACACGCTGGTGGGGATGAGCTACGACGTAGCTGCAGCTGCCCGCCGACAGAGGCGAGGCTGCTAAGCACAGGCGCCGCCAGCCCTTCCCACCACCACCAGCAGGCAAGGTGGGTTAGGCGTCTTGCCCAAGGACACAACAGCAGCTTTCTCTGGCGGGAGCCAGGATTGAACCAGCAACCCACCACAACCCGCTCTACCTCCTGAGCTGCTGCTGCTCTAACTAGAGCGTCTCTGAACTTTGACCTTAGACATCCTAATGCTCCTCTGACAGGTGGAACAGCATCCAGCTCAGACCGTCTGAAGGCTCAGGAACCCTCTGCAGCTGTTCTGGCTTCATCAGCTGACTGCAGTCTGGAACACTGAACCTTTCTCACTAATCTAGCCGTCTGAAATTCCACTATCTCCGCTCCGCCCCCACTTTCCGCTGCCGCTCGCTTCCGAACTCGAATTATACTATTCCCGCTCTACAACGGCTCCGCCCCGGTGCGGAGACCTGAGGTGCGCAAACAAGCATGCGCAGGATTTTCGAGATCTTGCGATACAGTCTGAGCAATAAACGCGGAAGTTAGATCCAAACACCCGTTGTGTGGGAGAAGCATCGACATGAACTGTTGAATCTGCCCATCATTTGTGTTGAGAGATCAGCAGTGTTTGGATCAACAAAGTGTGACTACTTTGATAGTGGAAACTGTATTTATGGCTTATTTTGTGCATTTAAAGTTCAGCCGCCATTGATAGTTGTTAAAAGTTGTTAAACATGGGCAAATGAAACGAAAAACGCCTTTTATTTATCGATTTATTGTGACATAATGGAAGCTGTGCTTGCTCCCTTTCCTGCTGGGCGGTTGTGATTTCTGTCCATTGACTGCGGAGGTGCTCCGGCGTCCGGCGAAAATAGAATCGATCCTATTTTTGCCGGATGGCGGAACGGCGGGCGCAGTAGTGGAACAGCTCTGACTGACTACAACGGGACCGTTCGTGCCGGAGCGGGGCGGAGATAGTGGAATTTTGGGGAAGAATGAAGTTTTCGTCAGCTGCGAGCCATAATCGTATACAGGAATGAGTCTGTCTCATAAGTTAGCTTCACCTTTAGGTTGGATTCCTAACATAAACACTTTTCCAGTTTCTCCTGCGGTAAATGATGCTCCTGCTTCCTAAAGGCGTGCACCCACATAAAAACACTTTAGAAGAGCCTTTTGGCTGAAGAAAAGCTACCACCAGTGCTTGCAGGATTAATATTCATGTTTTTAGTTTGTTATTGAGTTATTTCTGTATGTTATCAAATGACCTCCATGTTCCTGTGCCAACAGCAGCTGAAACGTTCCACCAGCCCGTCGGGAGTCAGACTGAACCAAGCCCAACGTGGCTTCCCTCAACAGATCCAGCATCAAATCAACTCTTGGTGGAAGGTTATCAGAGCCCCAGTCCTTCTGTACCTGGGTGGCAGCCCTTCCAGAGCTTTGGTCAAACATTCCGGAGTGTTGTCGGTGTCTGCTGTGGACACAGGAACATCTGGAGTGTCTGTTTTGGAGTCAACATCACATTCTCCCTCAGCGTCGCCCGACAGGCCCAGCCGGTCTTCGCCATCAGCTTCCTGCACAAAAAACACAAAAAAAGATGTGTGAGTCTTCTGAAAAATAAAATACACGATCTCACATCTGTCATCTGTCAGCGCTCACGAGTAGACATGCTGCACCCAGATCAGCTGTGAATGAATCACAACCTTTCTGTTGGTCTGGTTTCCATAGAAACCGTGTCATAATGGTCTCACATGCACACTGGGCATGAAAATGTTCTCCACCCCCGACTCCTCCATCAGCCACGAGACCAGAAAACAATCTGTTCAGAAAAGGCCAGTCTCTTCTACGTGACAGGGAACATTAGCAGTCATAGCTCCACCCACCTAGGTTAGGGACCGCCCACAGGAAGGAGGGATGAGCACGTCTTGATTAGTAGAAGCTAGCCGTTAGCATTAGCAACTCCACAACATGGAGGAACTCCTTCAGGCTCCAGTCATTAGTGAAGAAAAACAACAACGTTGCACTTTTGCCCAGGAATGAAAGGTGTCACGTTGGCGCTGACCAATCAGAGGAGAGGCATTTAAATATCATGAATATTAATGAGGAAATAACTAACCTTAACCCCCCCCCACACACACACACACACACACACACACACACACACCTTGGCAGCAGGCTGCTCAGTCCTTTTGTAGATTTGCAAACAGGTAAATGTAGGTAAAGTCCAGCAGGACCAAAGGGCTGTGCAGATGCTAATTTAATAGGTCAGAGTTTAACCTCTCACCTGCGAGGGGGAGGAGTCTACAGAACAGGTGTGTTCTAAATTTGACAGGGATTCAAGTCAAATACATCAACACACCACAGGAAGCCAGAGGCTTTACTGAGGAAACCCTCGTGTTACCATCACCTGTACCCAGGCTCGGGGGGGGGGGGGGGGGGGGGGGGGGGGGGGATGAGCGGGTGTGTTGTCCAGGGCCAAAGGTCAGAGGGGGTCAGAAGTGCAAAGGAAAAAGAGAAATCCTGGTGTGGATCATTTTGTCCTGGGTCCAGCTGCACCCGCCCCGCCCCAGAACAACAGACCTGAGAAGTTGGTAGAACATCAGATTAGAGTGTGGTGGAGCTGGACGGTCAGATGAATCAGACACTAAAACATCTCATCTATCAGGATGTTTCACCTTTAAATGATGAAACCAGATTTACTCACTCAGATTTGAACCACAATCATTTCCAAACGTTACCCAGGTGAGAGGAAAGGAGTTTCCTCCGTAATCAGAGCTACTTTTAAACCCAGCTCACTTCCTCCAAGGCTCGTCTGAGATCCTGGAATTACCTTTCATGGGTGGTTTTACCCGGACGCTGCTAATGTGGTGAGTGAGGTGGGGTCGTCAGGGTCAGCTCAGGGAGCGGTGAAAGACGAGGGATTAGAGATGCTAACGTGGCTTTTTTCTCCGCTTTAATGAGGGAAAATGTCTCCTGCAGTCAGAATGAACTCAGAGCTGCTCTTTTTGACTAAAGAAGGAAAAAAGTCGGAATGACATCATCTTTAGAAAATGTTTGAGTTAATCTGCCTCAATTCTTGCTATGATTATTATTTTAGTTTTGCATGAAGCATCTCTAAATGTGGAAAGAAAGAAACACTCAGGGGCGTAGTTTTTATACAGTAGCTTCAAAACATTGCAGACACACATTACTGACAGGCTTTTGTTTAACTGGATGCAGGATGATGGACTCAAACTGGAGCGGTTCGCAGCCGAGTGTGAAGCAGCTGGGATGAGAATCAGCTCCTCTAAATCTGAGACCATGGTCTTGAGTCAGAAAAGGGTAGAATGCCTTCTCCGGGTCAGGGATGAGGTCCTGCCCCAAGTGGAGGACTTTAAGTATCTTGGGGTCTTGTTCACGAGTGAGGGAAAACTGGAGCGTGAGATCGATAGGCGGATTGGTGCTGCATCTGCAGTGATGCGGGCGTTGTACCGGTCTGTCGTGGTGAAGAGAGAGCTGAGTCAGAAGGCGAAGCTCTCGATTTACCGGTCGATCTACGTTCCTACCCTCACCTATGGTCACGAGCTTTGGGTAGTGACCGAAAGAACGAGATCACGGAGGGGCTCGGAGTAGATCTGCTGCTCCTCCACATCGAGAGAAGCCAGTTGAGGTGACATGGGCATCTAGTCAGAATTAGTGCTGCCACTGAGAAACCCTGAGAAAGAAGCATCATGGCGAGTGTAACGTAGCTCAGAAGTTTGGGAGAAGCACGTAGAACGCAAACTCTGCTAAGTGAAACTCTCCTTTCACGGGAGCACATCGGCGACGCGCGAGCACCTGAAGAGGAAGAACGTCCTGGACGAGAACAAAGAGTCACCTCTGTAAGCTAACTACCTCGTGTTAGCTGCTGACATCAACAGCAGTGGCGGTGATGACCGGATTACCGTTAGAACACGCTTCTACGTCACGTAATTGCTCCAACGTTACGAACACTAATGATTCGTTAATCCCGCTACGTTGGAGTTAAAACCACGCTTCTCCTCTCCAACGGACGAGTTTGTTTCCTGGCCAGTGACGGTTTTACTTGGACACGTTTATGAGCAGGAGTCGTTTTTGTGTGCAGTTTATTTTTGGTTTCAGGAGCCTACCTCCACCTGACTGCAGCATTTGTGTTGACAGGTTACAAAGTGAAATACAGGCGTTGCTAAGCCATCGTCGTCTTTATTAGAAGGCACCTAGCTGATCACACTTCAGACTAGAAGCTAATGATGGTATGGTAGTGAATCCTGGTGCAACAAGCTACACTTTATGAATGACACGACTAGTCGACTACTAATCTAGTCGTTTGTGGCAGCCCTAGTCAGGATGCCTCCTGGACGGCTCCCTGGTGAGGTTTTCCAGGCACGGACAACTGGGAGGGGAAGACCCAGGACACGATGGAGAGACTATGTCTCTCAGCTGCAGAGGGAACGCCTTAGGATTTCCCCCGAGGAGCTGGTCCAAGTGGCTGGGAGAGGGAAGTCCGGGCCTCCCTGCTTCAGGCTGCTGCCCCTGCGACCCGACCCCGGATAAGCGGACGAGAATGGATGGATGCAAGATTAGAAGCTGGACATACCGGCAGATTATAATAATTATAATCCTACAACAAAAAACGTACTCTACTACGTTTTCTAATATTTACGAGCCAGGATGAAAACATTAGGATGAGACGGTTTGTCCCGACGCCACACCTGTAGGGTGGCAGTGCTGGTACCTGCTTACAGGTGAGAGAAGTTCCTCCACCAGCAGCAAACACCAGCCTGCCAGCTTCAGCTCAGTTTTCAGCAGCAAGAGCAGCCAGCTGGGAGGAACTCCAGAAAACAGGAAGCTCCGGAATACTGTTCATTCCCAGGTTAAACTGTCATCGCCTGAACTTTTCCAGCCTGATCTAGAAACTCAAAAGCACACCTGACCAGAGAGCCGGGGCCTCTTTATAAAACGTTGTGTAGAATTCTAACGAAACCCTACTAGTGTCCTCACACGCACTTCCTGCTTTAGAAATCACACCTGTCTCAAAAAGGTGCCCAGGTGATGCTGGATCACCAACCTTCTGCCCTAAAGGGTCAACGCAGAGCGCGTTACGACTAATCTGCATATAGATACACCTGCTGATTGGTGGCATGTCACAGGTAACCATGACAACCAAGGTTTGTGAGTGACGTAAAGATAAGGAAAACTGCTTTACTGCAGTCCAGCGGCACCGCGTTGTTCCAACTGTCGAGCGATCACATAAAAACATCACAAAGAGGCGGTCAGGTGGAGGCAAAGAGGAAGATGGGAATAATCGCTGATCCCGTCCAAAACGGCTGACTTATGGTGCTCAGGGATCGCCAAGATAAAATATCAGCCGCCTGTTTAATCCCACAATTAACCTGATACGGTTTAAATCTCCGTCTGATGACAACCTCTCTGGTTGGGTCACATGGTCTCAACAGACAGGAACACAGTCGTCCTCCATGCTTTCCTTCGCAGCGTCAAAAGTGACCTGATGAGTCAAGAGCAGCTTCTATCACAGAAAAATGACTCTGGATGAAAACCAGAACATCTCAAGAGTCTTCAGAGCCCTTCTTCATGTTCAGCAGTCGGGTCATCACCACGTCTTCGCCTCCCGTCTGTAGGAGCTGAAGCATCTGCTGCTCACAGGATCCACCAGATAATCATCACCCCTCACATTCCTGTTAGATTGTCTTCATGATTGTAAATTAGCCTTTTTTATTTTATTACAACATCTGCGGGTTTGCTGTTGGAGCTGTAAGAAACTTGGATTCTTAATCTTTTTACTTTTTTTTGTCCTTCTCTACAACTTATCGGACTTCCTGCTTGCCTTCAGCTAAAACCTGACAGCTGACGCTTCGACTCAGACGAGTCAATAAAATCCTTCAACACATGGTTTCTCAAATCTCGAGATAAACAGTTTGCAACAGTTCTGCGGACGTCACAGCGGCCTTCCCAGAAGTGGGAGAAATCCCACAAACCCATCTAGAACTGTGAAAATCACAGCAGATCTGCAGAAAATCAACCTTTTAACTGCAGCTCAGTTATTTCATATCCAAGTTGTTAAATCAAATCAAATCAACTTTATTTATATAGCACTTTTCATACAAAAAATGCAACTCAAAGTGCTTTACAGATTAAAATGGCCCCATAGATCCCACATTCCCATCCCAGCCCCCCTCCCCAAGTATAAAACAATTAAAAATTACAGTTCCCCTCCCGCACCCAACTTCCAAAGTGGACATACAATCACCCGCACACACACACACACACACACACACACACACACACACACACACACACACACACGCACACACACACACACACACACACACACTCGTGAACACCAGAGGAAACAATAGGCTGAGTTCAGATGGGTCAGGTAATGAACGACACATCATCAGCGGAGCCATCTGCCCTGGCAGCAACAGATCCACGGCAGCAGCCAAGACACCGGCCCATGACGCCCAGTGGCGTAGGGCAGAAACCCCCACCAGTGCCCGGGCACTACCTGGGGAGCGCCCCGGCCGCCGCCGCCCCTGACCACCGGCCCCAAGGCAGAGGGCTCCGCAGAGGAAACACTGGAGGATTTAAGATATATAACATATAAAATAATAAAAGCTAATAATGATAAAAAGTAACTGATAAAAAGTGATTATAAAGATAGTAAAAGAAAACATAATCATATAAAAACACTAAGATGTATATAAAATGATAAAAATAATAAAAGAGATAAATATGTATTTATAGATAAATAGTAATCAGTTAAAAGCTAAGCTAAAAAGGTGGGTCTTGAGCCTATTCTTAAAAGCCTGGATGTTCCCTTCGGACCTGAGGTCCTCCGGCAGCCCGTTCCAAAGGCGAGGGCTGTAATACTTGAAGGACGCCTCGCCGTGGGTGTGAGTCTTAACTTTAGGGATAACTAGGAGACGGCTGCCAGAGGAGCGCAGAGACCGCGAGGGTTTATACAGTAAAAGCAGTTCTGAAAGATAAGAAGGCCCAAGACCATTAAGACACTTAAAAACCATTAAAAGAACCTTAAAATCAATCCTGAAACATACGGGGAGCCAGTGCAGTGATTTTAAAACCGGAGTGATGTGCTCCCGCTTCCTGGTCTTCATCAGGACACGTGCTGCTGAGTTTTGTAAAAGTTGTAAACCTGAGATGCTCTTTTTGGGAAGACCAGAAAGCAGGGCATTGCAGTAATCAATTCTACTGGTTACAAAAGCATGCACTAGCGTCTCCGTATTGGCCCGAGAGAGAATGGGGCAGACTCTGGCGATATTCTTAAGATGGTAAAAACCTATTTTTGTGATGTTTTTAATATGGGGGATAAAAGTCAGCTCAGAGTCGAAAATAACACCCAGATTCTTCACTTGTAGTGATGGATAAAAAGACATTGATTGTAGTTTAGGTAAAAGTTTCTCTCTCTGGGCCTCAGGACCGATGACTAAAACTTCAGTTTTGCCCTGGTTGAGCTGGAGAAAGTTTTCAGTCATCCATGATTTAATATCTAAAATGCAATTAAAAAGTGTTTCCATTGGCTGAGCGTCATCAGGAGACACGGAGATGTACAACTGTGTATCATCAGCGTAACTGTGGAAATTCACCCCATGTCTCCTGATGACGCTGCCCAGAGGGAGCATATAGAGGTTAAAAAGTACTGGGCCTAGAATTGATCCCTGAGGCACCCCGCATGTGATGCTGTGGACCCCAGAGGAACAGGTATCCAGACTCACCATAAAAGTCCTGTCTGTGAGGTAGGAAGTAAACCAACTGTGAACAACACCAGAGAGGCCGATCTGTTTTAAACGGGTTAAAAGAATAGTGTGGTCTACTGTATCAAAGGCAGCACTTAGATCCAGCAGAACCAACACTGTTGCCCTCCGAGCATCAGAATTTGTTCTAAAATCATTTAAAATCTTCAGAAGGGCCGTCTCAGTGCTGTGGTTCACCCTAAAACCAGACTGAAATTTCTCTAGGACATGTTGGTGGTTGATAAAATCATTAAGTTGTATTAAAACAAGCTTCTCTCTGTTCCCTTTACAACATTATAATAAAGGTCACCAACCATCAGGGAGGATTCAGGTTTTATTCAGGGTGATGGAAGCACAAGAACGTCACACTCGTGTTTAACTGGTGAAACAACAAAAACCCTCCAGGCTCTCAAACTGAAATCCAGCTAATTCCATCTTTAACTAGCTGCGATCTTAAAACAACTAGTTAGGTTTAGAGCCCGAGTTATCTTGTTACACCACACGTCTCCTTCATCCTGGAGGACCCTAGTCATCCCAGTCTGATCCCTTACGTCATCACAGCAGGTTCATAACAAGTTTCGGTCTGATCAGCTCCACCATAACGTTACTCCAGTAATCATGCTGTTAGAAGCAGTC